ACACACACACACACACACACATATATATATATATATATATACATATATGTGTGTGTGTATTCAATAATTGTTATGTAAATAACAAATAAGTCATATGAGATAAATGAAAAAAAATATTGGGTGTAACCAACGATAATGAATAGTCTAATTAATTTAATGTTTTGATAATAATTATATCAATAAAAAAACAAAGTTTGAGAAAAAAGAAAATTAGGATTGCAATGCCTAAAAATGTCACCTTATTGTTAGTGTTTTTTCTTACAAAATTACAAATTAAGAAACTATAAAAAGACATAAGAATTGATATATAAAATAATTTTTGCATTATGTTTTTCATCAAAACTATGATTTAAAAATATTATTTTCCGTATTTTTGCATTCACATTATGAAAAAATTACATGTGAATTTTTTTTATTCATTTTCGCCATCTCCAACCAACACTAAAATATTTTTTATCAAGCTTTATGATTCATCATCTCCTCTTTATATACTTGTAATTTTTGTCAAACTTTATTCTCTCTATCAATATAAGATAATTAATTCAACATTACAATTAAATATTTGAGAAATTTTTTGATAAAAAAGATGATGGCTAAATATCAAATTTAAGTCAAAGATTTTCAAATTTCAATTCAGCATCTCCTTATTATATACTCATACTATTTGTGAATTTATTTTAATTTTTATCATTGTGAGATTATCAACCTACCAGCACAATCCAAGATTGAGGAATTCTCAAACCTCATTGTACACATCATTTACACTTGATTATATTTAACAAATAAATACATTTTTTTTGCTAAAATGATTCAACTCTATTAATTTAATAAAAAAAAGTGACTAAATTACAATATATATATATATATATATATTAAAAACTTCTTATTGACAACCTTTTGGTTATTCCTTTAATATATATATATATATATATATATATTATAATTTAACCTTTTGGTCATTCCAAAAAGCTTGTGATACAAACTCTAACTTAAAACATAACCCAAACCCAAAATAAAAACCTAAACTAAAAACAAAAATCAAACCTAAATGTAACCCAAAATTAAACCCTAAATCCCTAAACCCCTAAATCAATGAAGTTGGAGTTTGACCAGGTTAGTAGATGAAAACCCGAAGGAGAAGTTTCATCAAAGCAAAAAGGAGGGGTTTCATTAGAGCAACGAGGGGGAAGGGGTTCATCGGATTTGCAGAGGATGGTTGATCGCAAAAAATCAAATTTGTAGGGATTCTTCGTGATTTGAAGGGATTCACCGGGTTTACAACCAAGAAACGGCTGATACCTCCATCACCAACACCTGCAACCTACCCCCGCCCCTTTGAAGTATCAGATTGTTACTTTCCCACCAACAACCTACCTTCACTAGTCGGTTTTTTTTTGGGTAGCGGAAAGGTCAACAATCCTCTCAAAACTAGTCCACCTACACTTTGACATAACACGTTCAACAACCTATGCAACTCATGTTCACTAGTCCTAACACTACCGTGACATTATCTGTCATCAATGTCAAAAAAAAACTTTCCAACCTGGTGGCCATTGTTGGAATTTTAGTGAGGTTGGAAGTTTTCTTCCATCCCACATTGGTATGATTTAAATAATAAAGGACTTTATAAGCCCTTTCCCTCAAGTGGGACTTGAACATGTTGGTTGACTCATGGTGGGGGTTATGTGTGCAAGGTCCAATGCACATGCACATGCATGGTTGAGGACGTGGGTGCAAGATTTCTAGAGTGGCACGAGTAGATCCACTTTGCACTTTATACGACGCATCGGAGGGCGCAAGATTCGAGGAGTGGCGCAAGAAGATCCGTTTCGCACGACGCATCAGAGCAGCAAGAGCCTCGCCTTGAGCTCTAGCTTTCTTTTTGTTGAAAATTATAGAGAGAATTGGATAATTATTGATAAAATAAAAGTTGTTATTTATCAGTAATTAAATTCATTTTTTAGCAGATTAAATTCAGTTGTCTTATCTGATTAAATTTTCGAAATTTAAACTTTAAAAAACGTTTTTATTTATTTATTAAGCTAATCAGTTAGAGACTTGGTCTCCAACTAACTTCGTGATCCCTAAACTTGGGGAAGAAGCACCATTTTTTAAGTTTTTCCCATATATAAATAGGGATCAAGGTTTTGAGGAAAAACACATTGAAAAATCGATTTCTCCCTACTGCTCTCTCCCTTCGTCTGAGTTCTTTTCCTGCCATCAAAATTCTACATCTAGTGTGCTTTGATTTCATTGTCATTGATGTTGACAATCGAAATACTTTAACTGTATTAAATACCGAGTCTTTACGACTTTGAGACACACAACAAAAAGAATAGTCGTATAAAACCTTTAAGGACATGATACTTTTATCCGTGCAGTTTCTAGATCTTCATACATTCCAAGTTGGTGTTTAATTCCAGTTCGTACTTAATTTTCATTCACAAAGTGAACAAATCTGCTTTTACCCCTTTCTTTTATTTAATCTAGCAAATGATAGATTTAATAAGTGTGGTGTATATTTTGTTTGGAGTTTTAGATTCTGGATTTTCAAGGTGTCCATCTTGAGTAATAAAGCTTTAAATTTTATCAAATATTGAGTTATTGACGAATATCAAAAGTTTTTTAACATGAACTGGGACCCTAAACAATGAAATAATTATAGAGTGATATGCAACTCGTTACCTACTTCGTCCTTCAACGAATAAAAGAAATCCGATAGCCGAGTTAACTCTTAAATCATTTTAACAACTTTACCTTTTTATCTAATTTTTTATTTGAAAAATAACAAACCATCCACATCTCCTACTTCCACCACTTCCCTTCTCTAATTTATAAATAAATTAAATAATAAATAAATAGTTTTAAAATTAATTTTATATATAAAAATTCACATCAACAGCTAGATCGGTAAATAATGTAATTATATGCCATATAATCCGCCACATCAATACGATAACTTGTTGACAGTTTGGATACTTAAATATTTAAGATATCAAAATAAGGATTTTAGGGGGTGTTTGGGATTTGCTTATTTGGAATAACTTATAACTTTTCTACAAAAGTTTTTATCAACTTATTATAAGTTAGAATGGTTTAACTTTTTCAAAAACTTTTTATTACCGGTTTGACACCGGTATAAGCTGTTTATCCAAACACTCAAAAAAGTTTATTACCGGTGTCACACTATAATAAGTCAATAAATTGTTTTTATAAGCAATCTCAAACACCCGGTTAATAATATGTTACCTAAAATATGAATTAGACCAAAATAAGTTGTTTTTTCATACAATCTATTGTCATTATAACATATTTATATACGATGCTCATTCATTAATTTAATAAATATATACGTCTCATTACATACTCTATTATAACAGACCAATTTTATTATAATTTTCTTTAGGATAAAATGCGTGAAATAGCAACCCACTTTAACAAGTTTTCTTAAGTGTTATATTTTTAGTTTTTCTTATTACAACAATGTACTTTCAAAAAACTTTTTATTAAGGCATTGTACTTTGAAAAATTTACCCATTATAATAATGGGTAATGTTTTAAACTAAATTTACCAGTTATACCATGTTTCTTTGCCACCTCATTGTCCACGTAGGCTGTCCACATGTACGATTCTGCTGACATGCCATTTCTTATTATAGCATTGTACTTTTAAAATTACTTTATTATAAGATCACAAATTTCTATTACAATATTGTACTTTTTAATTTTAATATTTTTATGATTTAAACATTGTAAATTTAATCAAATATGTTTACTATAATAAATTAAAAAAAGAACGTTTACAAAAGATCATTATTTTACAAATAAAAATATTCATAAAAAAGTGATATCTGAATTATACAAATGTTGAATTTCTAATATTATAATTTTTATGAATATTTTTATCCCTGAAATAGTGATATTTTAAATATGTTATTTTTGATATTATAATTTTTAGAAAATGTATTTGATTAAATTTACAGTGTTGAAATCATAAAAATATTAAAACTAAAATTACAATGCTCTAATAGAAATTGGTGGTGTTATAATAAAGTAATTTTGAAAGTACAATGTTATACTAAGAAATATCATGCCATCACTTTCGCATATGTGGACATCCTACATGGACGATGAGGTAACAAAGAAGTATGGTATAATAGGTAAATTTAGGGGATGTTTGGGATTGCTTATAAAAGCTGTTTTTTAACTTATTCCAGTCTGACACCGGTGATAAACTGTTTTCTGGTGCTTGGATAAAAAAAACTGCTTATACCGGTGCCAAACCGGTAATAAGCTGTTTTTGATAAGTTAATCTTTCATGACTTATAACTGCTTATTACCAGTTTACAATTTTAACCATATTTTATTTAACTCCAATTTAATACTACATAAGTTAATAAACATTTTTACAAAACAACATAAGTTGTTTTAAATAAGCAATCCTAAACACCCCCTTAGTTTAAAAGGTTATCTAATGTTATAACAGGTAAATTTTTAAAAGTAAGAATATCCTAATAAATTTTTTTTTGAAAATACATTGTTATAATAAGAAAAACTGAAAGTACAAGACTATAATAAAAAAATTTATAAAAAATAGATTGTTATTTCGTGTATTTTAATTTTTTTTAATAACCCTATACTCATTTACAAATTTTATACCTAATATCCATTTAATATAGTTTTGCTGACTTTACCTCTTTCTAGGAAACTACCAAGAAATTTAATGGTATCAAGTACCCATAAATGTTAGGAAACTTCACATGTATTGTTCATAACAAAAGTCAACGGTTTGACTTGGTCAAAATAGAATGCCCAAATAAAAGTCTAATTACTTGTTTAACTTCTCCAAGTTAATGACTATGAATCCCAAATCTGTCTTCTATATATCATCAAACAAACCATTTTCAAAACCACATGCTACAGCTAGATCTTTAAAGTGGGACTCGAATATGTATGTTACGCGATCTATTTCTCACTATAAAAGATTTCCTGAGCTTGTTTATTCGTCACCCGAAGATCCGAACTCAAGTTACTTGGTAATCCAAGATGAAGAGTCTGAAACATACTCGTGTTTTGGGTTGAGCAAGAATCGGTATCTTGCACAGTTGCCGTTTCCCCAGAACAAAATACTGACCACGCGCTACTCATCAGGGACCGGTGAACATCATCATGTTTCGTACGATGAGGTTCTCTTAATTCCGGTCCTCAATCAACCACTATCGTCAAATCGTTACTATGCAATAAAACCTCATGGATCGCATAAAGGGTATGCATATTGTATACCTATAGTACATAATAAGTTGTTTTTTTTATTTTATCTAATGTCATTTGCTACTAAGGAGCCGTTTATTAAACGCTTAACCGGTAAGTACTTATTGGGAAATTTTTCTCACCGGATGAACATGACAAGGGCCAAAAAGCTTACCCGGTAAGAACGAGGATAAGGATGGAGAGTCTTACCCGGTAAGAACGAGGATAAGGATGGAGAGTCTTACCCGGTAAGTGAGGGTGACGACTCTTACCAGGGTAAACGCTTACCAGGATCATTGTTGCATGAAATACGTTTTGATGTACTACAACCTTACCAATAAAATAAATTATAGTATTGACTCCTAAAGGTAAGCACTTACCGGATAAGCATTTAGGTAAACAGCCCCTAAATCCCTTTTTTTATTGGAATTAAATTTAATCTAACATTCTTGTCGTTATTTTTTAAATTTAACATTTGTATTGTTATACTTTTTTATCCGTTTTTTAACTGGGTTTTTTTCAACCATATGGATATGAAGCTTAATTTGTAGTTTTACATGTAAAACTCCATTCGAGACTACGCATGTTAAACTTAATATGAAGCTTCATATAAAGTTGCATAGCTTCACATGTGAAGGTTCATATGTCAAATTTCTATATGAAGCTCCATGTGAAATTTCATATGAAGTTGCACAGCTTCACATGTGAAATTCCATATAAACTTATCAGTGAACAGATGAAAAAAGTGTAAAAACATGTATATAAAATTAAAAAAATGGTCCTTTTTTGATATAATTTATTTAATTCCAAAATTGAGTATTTTTAAATATTCTCGGTTTGAAAGTGAGATAATTCTTGTTAAAAAATAATTTAAGTTGCATTTGATTAATTTTGAAGTGTATATTTAACGAAATTATCCTTCCAACTTTTTGTCTGCTAATAGAAAAGATCATCAATTTGCAATATACTAGAAGAGTACTCACATAATGCAGCGAGATACATCTCGATTTTAATGTTTTGTGTTTCTTTTTTGTTTTAATCGATGTTATAATACGATTTTATATGATTTTGAGAAAACGATAATGTTTTTATTTTTAAATAAGATATAAATATAAAGACATCATAAAGAATTGAAATTTTTTTGATATTAGTACCAAACTAACTATTTAAAATTTCTTTTTTATGTATTCATTTAATTTATTTTTTTATTTTTTTGTTTAATATATTTTTTATAAAGATAATAATTAAGTGTTTTATTATAATTCAATGATTATCCTAATTATATTTTAAATTTTTTATATTCAAAATGAGATGCTTATCCTCTCGATTATATTTATCTGTAGTTAGTAACACGAATTCAAACATGAAGCTTTAATAAGTTGTACTTACGCACAATTTACTTGTAAACTTGAATTTTAAGTAATATGCATCAATAAATAGTACTCCATGCACAAAAAATGTTTTTAATATAGTATAGATAATCTTATTGTCATTGTCAATCTCACCGATTGATTAAATTGAACGGGAATTAGTTACTCAATTGTGGAGGTCTCTCGGGTGTCTGATCCGATCAGTCTCGTGATGAAGAGAATTCTGATCGTGATATGTTGTCATGTTCTTAACCTTTTTAGCGTTTTATTTGAATCATCTCCTATAAGTCGTGATATGTTTTCCGTGATATGCATATTAATGGCTTTTTTTAATTATTCTTGAATCTATTCAGTGACTATAAGGTTACACAAATACATATCATTGTTGTTAAACAAACTAACAGATAGTTTTCCAGGGAAGCGTATGCATGTTCAAAGGAGGAAGACATGGCACAATGTTGTTTTTGCAATTGTGTCCGCGATGTAAAACCAAGGCCGTTGGACCCTCAAGACATATACCAGCAGTTCGAGATCATTCCTTACCAAACATCTTGTAATGGTGATGGTAGCTTTTATGCCAAATCTCTCGCAGACGATGGTTTCCCTCCACATTTCTTAAGTAGAAAAGGTTGGAATATCTACACTAAAACACCTAAAAACTACGAGTTACGTGAAGCAAAAGGAATCAATGTCGCTCTTCGTTCTCGTCTCCCTGAACTAAATTTCCCACCCTCAACCAAAACTTCTAATCTTGTGGTTGTTGGCAAGTGGTATTGTCCTTTTATATTCATTAAAGAAGGAAGACTGGCTGATCAAGTAAAAGAGTCCGTCTTTTATGAAATGACACTAGAGCAAAAATGGGAACAAATTTTCGAACAGGAAAACGAGCATAACAAGGAAGAAAATATCGTATACGTGACGGCTGCATTTCATAGTGAAGCAGTTGCTATCGGTGAGAACCTCAGGGAGGCGACATGGGACGAGAAAAACGTGGTAAATGGAGTCGTATGGTTTAAGTCTCTTGGGGGTGATAACGAAAAAGAAGAAAGTGTAGGGTTGAATCTAGAAATTGTTGAAAGATTGAGGTGGGAAGAAGAAAAAGTTGGATGGGTAAGTGGTGGGAATAAGAGGATAGAGAGGGTGAAGAGAGAAGAGAAGTTTGAAGGGATTGGGGGGTGGAGGAGATTTGGTTGCTATGTTTTGGTTGAAAGGTTTGTGCTAAAAAGAATGGATGGAAGTTTGATTTTGGCATATGATTTTGGTCATAAACATCAAATTAAGACCATATTTGAATAAGATTTATGCATATTGTTTTTAGGGGCTGTTTATCAAACGCTTACCAAGTCATATTACTTTATCGGATGAATATGGTAAGGACCAAGAATCTTACACGGTAAGAGTGAGACAAGGACCAAGTGTCTTACCCAGTAAGTGAGGGCGACGACTCTTACCACAGTAAGTGCTTACCAGATAAATTGTTGCATACAATGTCGTTTTGGTGGAGTAAAATCTTACCCGTTAAGTAAATGATAGTGTTCCATTTTACCGATAAACACTTACTGAATAAGTGTTTGGAATTTGTTGTTTTTTCCTTTTCTATTTTGTAATTAAATAAATAGAATATTTGTTTCTTGAAATTTAAGTTTAGCTAAATAGCCATGAATTTTGTGTTAAAATATCATCTAGTTGTTCGAACTCTGTAAAAATGTTCTGTTTATGTTAGTAGGGAACACAAACTTGTGCAATCACCAAACCTGTATATCGAATTGGAACAAAGTAAGGGGGTCGTTTTATTGATACAAATTGGGTTAGCGTAGATTCATACTTTGTTTTTACTTTATTAATAGAATATAAATCTTTTTATTTCCCAATTAGCCAACCAACTCTTAAAAATCCTAGGAGACACTCAAACCCACAAAGCTCGAGCCACCTCCCCATCACACTTGTTATATCGGCTTCATCCCACTTCATCTTGCCAACTATACCTGATATAAAGCCGCTCTATAACAATTCAAGACAACAAGAAAGCAAGAATAGGATATCGATCAAGTGGTTGGATAAGAGTCACCATTATTAATTAAATAATTCTACTGGGTAAAATTTTCGATCATAAAAATAGTATAGTACAAAAGTCTTATACCCTGTAAGCATTAACTGGATAAGAGTCACTATCCTCATTAACAAGATTCTTGGTAAACAAAATAATACAATAAGATTGTTAATAAAAACCATCACCTCTAACTGGGACTGGGCTGGTGGTAAAAAACAACAAATATTTAATTACCTGATAAGATGAAATAACTGGTTAATAAATAACCCCTAAATTGTATTCGCATAAAAAATAAAAGAAAAATATGAAGCATGATTAAGATTAAATAATAATACAACTTACGTGTATGATCCATCAAAATGAATGTCATATGGACATGAAAGTGATGTTTTTGTCTTCTTTTTCTTTTTCAATTTTTAATTTTATTAAATTATTTTTTTATTTATATAGTTATAATTTTTTATTAACACTTAAATGAATATGTCAAATAGTTGATGAGCGTAGCTGAATTTTGTATGCAATTTTCTAACGGAGTTGCTTCTAGGGATGCTGGATGTTGGAGACCAACCACTAATGTTCCTAACGCTTTTCGTTTTGCTCCCAAAAAGTGTTGAAAATCTTGAATTGAATAATACACAAATATCATGAGGGCTCGTGTTGTTTGACGGAATATTTTTGATGAATTTGGATTTCGTGGAATGATTTAGAATTAGGAGGTTTTGAAATTGGAAGGATTAGAATACTTGGAGGCCGTTTACCAAATGCTTACATGGGTAAACGCTTACCAAGTCACATTACCTTACCGAATGACTATGATAAGAACCAAAAATCTTACCCGGTAAGAACGAAAACAAGGATCAACAATCTTACTTGGTAAGTGATAGCGACGACTCTTACCATGGTTAGCGCTTACCGGGTAAACTAACACATACAATATCGTTTTGGTGGACTCAAATCTTACCCGATAAGTAAACGATATGTTGAATTTTACCGATAAACACTTACCGGGTAAATTATTACATACAATAATATCGTTTTGGTGGACTCAAATCTTACCCGGTAAGTAAACGATATGTTGAATTTTACCGATAAACACTTACCGGGTAAGTGTTTAGGTAAACGGCCCTTATTGTGTTTGATTTATAGGATTTTGGAATGAAATGGAATTTCATTATTTATAAATAATTACAAAAACAAATAATAAAAATTATAAAAATAATTAAATTACTTTTTTTATAATTTGTTATTATAAAACAAGTGGTTTTTAATATAGTTTAAAAACATTGTTACAAACAAATCATATGAAATCGTTCAAAATACCAACTACATTAAATCTCATGTTTGTGTTGGTTTCAATTCAAACTTTCCTTTAAACCAAACATGAGATTGAAATGGAGTCCAATTTCGAATCATGATAAATCCTATAAAAAAAACCCGCAAACCAAATGGACCCTTGGTACACCACAAGATCATCGCCTTTAATAGAATAGCATTCAAATGAAAAGGTAAAAAACCATGTCAACCAACAAATGAAGATGATTTGTCTAAGGTTGTGATACATGTGAAACAAAATTTAGACAAGTAATCAGAGACGTTGATACGGACTTGCCTTTGTCTAGAACTAATAGACAATGATAAACATAAGAATTTTTCTAGACGGATATACCTTTAAAGTAATTCAAAGGCTTACAAAGTCGCTGATTGACCCAATGGAAAAGTCAAGACAGTTTGACTGGGGAAAGTCAATTGTATCAATTTGAATATAAAATGCATTTACCCCAATCGAATCAACCTTTTAAAACCCTAACCCTTAAGGGGCGTTTGGTTCACAGGATTCTGATGGAATTCGAATGAATTGGAATGAGCAATTCTATTGACCAAATTTCGTTCAGGCGTTTGGTTTACCTATGAAATGGAATTGAATTCCACACGTTCTACCATTCATGGATTTGGTCATTCCATCGCAATTGAGAAGAAATTCAATTCCATTTCACCCTATTTTCTTAAAAAAGACAAAATTATCCCCATCTTCCTTATTTGATTTGAACCACCGGAGACCACCACCGATTTGAACCACCACTGACCACTAAGGATCTGAACCAATGTTGACCACCATCGATCTGAACCACCGCCGACCCCACAACCGATTGAACCACCGGTCTAAACCACCGTCCACCACCACCATTTTGAACCACCATCGACCACCAATATGAACCACAATTCTAAGCCACTGCCGACCACCACCGTTCTGAACCACCACCAATTTGAACCATCGTCGATTTGGACCACCACCGCCCACCACCAATCACCACCGCCCACCACCAATCACCACCGTTGAACCACCGTCAACCTGAACCACGTTCTTTAACCACTGCCCACCACAAATCGACCACCACCACCAATCTGGACCATAGTAGTTGGACTTCAGTTTCAAAAAATTTAAAAAGAGTATTTTGGTCATTTACAGATATTACATTCTCATTCTAAAGCTACATTATGTAAACGAAACAAACAGATTTTAATTCATTTAACAGATTCCATTCCAATGTTTCGAACAAATGATCAAACCTGATAACATTCTATTCAAATTCTTTCAAATTCAAATTTCTTTGACAGATTCATTCCATCAAAAAATGTTCTTTGAACTGAACACCCCCTAATTATTCAAAAAAAAAAAACATCTCCTCCAACCGACCGCCTCTTTTTCTCTTTCTACTCCATCGCATCAAAATCTTCGAGTAGCAACAGCAGATAAAGAAGGTGAATCAACATCACCGAATAGCAACAAACAACAAATGGTGCATTTCTCAAATATTTCCAGAACACCCCTAAAAAATTAAACGACTTCATTTTTTAGAGCCCTAAAAGTTTTAATTGCGAGTGATCAATTGAACAATGACACAAGACGTCTCTCAAATCTACATAGGTCCGTTCCTACCAATAAGTGTTTTCATCCTTCACCTTTGAGGACTTGAACCAACAATTAATCACACATCTATATAACCTCAACCTCAACCACCTACGATAATCTTGCCCTACAATCAATCAATGGTAATATTAGTCTAATTATTATTTCAACAAATTAGATTTATTTATTATTTTAATGAATATTTTATTAGAAAATATGTGTAAAAGGTTGCATTGGGTATTGAAGTTGGTGTGATTTTGAAGAAAACAAGGTTGAAAGAGCTTTCTATATTTGATGGCTAAAGTGGGGACACGGACCATTGGCCGGTGCTTTTTACATATTCCACTTCGAATTTAACAAAGTTCAAAAGTATAGGGGCTGAAAATGTAACTTGTTGAAAAGGTGGACTAACGTGTAATTTTTTTGTTCATATTTAGCCCCAAGATTATGGAAGATGTCACAATGGACCCTCAATATCATGGATCTTCACAACATGACATTGACATAATATCAAGTTTGGTACATCTACATACAAGACCATTTGATCCATGGGCATATACAAATAGATTATAGATAGTTAAAATAAAAAATGTTATCAAAATATATATGTACTTCTATAATCATATCAATATGGTGGATCCAGGTTTTTTGTGGAGCGACTGCATCTTAAGATGGATCAAAGACCCATAAAAACGTCAATTGTGTTTCAACTGAATTCCACCTTTTTCAGGGATTTTGTAAGTTTACTTGATTGATTTCGAGAGACGTTTTCGATTTCTTGGTTGATTTTGAGAGATTTTTTTTTCTGTTTTCTAGTTGATTTTCATGAACTTGTTTTTGTTTTTTTGTTGATGTTCCTTATATATATTATAATATCCTAGAATACACCTTCAAAGTTTAGCAAGTCTACCTTCTAGATCCAAAAGAAATTTTACTTACGAAAATAAGTTAAATGGGTGTCCATGACCTCAATTTATTATAAGCTAGAATAGTTTAACTTCTTATTACCGGTTTGACACCGGTATAAGTTGTTTATCCAAACACTCAAAAATGCTTATTATCGGTGTCACACCGAAATAAGTCAATAAGTTGTTTTTATAAGCAATCCCAAAAACACCCCCTTATTCACAAAATAAATACAAATGACGCGATTAATATGATTATAAAAGTTAAACTATGTAATTGATGGTTTTTTTATAAATTTTGGTGAGAATTGCAGGGACCTGTTTTGTAATTGTTCAAAACAGTTGGGCAACTTTAGAATTATCATATACCTTTGGGAACATATATATTCGATAATCATGACCCGACATAATGTATTTACCCGAACTGACATGATGATTTAGCCCGACCCGAGTTACTAGTTGCTCCACTATGTTCTCCTAAAACCCTAACCACTCACCATATTTCTCTGCCATTTCCCCAAATTCTCATAAAGAGCGGGAAACATACGCAAAACATAGATACACCTTAAACACACACTCACTTCAATTTTACAATCCCATTTGTCTTTTAAAATGGATAATATGATCGATCAAGATCAGCAGTGGCTGATCAACTCACTGAATGCTACTCTTGACACTAATCAACAAGCTCGATCTTTCGCAGAAGCGTCTTTGAATCAGGCTTCTCTTCAACCTGGTATATATATATATATATATATATATATATGTATTTATGTGTGTAATTTGTTTGATATATACTGTGTGTGTATTTCTTATTACTGCTGCAATTCATCTTTTTTTCTTTTCTTCTGTTGAACTGTTTAGTACCGAGGATAATATATTCATAAGGTTCATTGAGCTCAATTAGGCTTTAATTGTGTTGTTAGTAATCTGGAGAAGAATCTTGGATTATTACTGTTATTACAAGTTCGTAAAGAAGAAGGAAAATGCTGTTTTTGGTGGTAAAGTTGCAAAATATATGATTAAAAGGGGGATCGTGATTTGGTGGAGTGAGGCAGCGAAGGACAAAGTATAAGTTTATTTATCATATTCTTGGTACAGACTGACAATTCAAGAGACGTTGTAGTTATATGTAATAGGAACCTCCTTGGTGATCAGGTCTTAAGGTCATCGAAATCTGGCTATTGAAATTCATTTTTGTACAATTGAAGTGGTTTGACAAACTTCCTTTACCAAATTGGTTGATTATGCGTGACAAACAAAATGTATCAACTCATTTTGTTTTACCTTTAACTGATTAATTGAGGCAAACCTACATTGCTTCCTTTTTAAAATCCAAAAGTTGGGTTCAGTCACCCAATTGTTAATAACTTCTAATTTTTGATGAAGTAAATTTGTTTCTCTTATGTAGTTCTGCTCCTCTAATATGATTAGGAATGCAAGCTATTTATCATACCAATGAAACCATCTTCTTTGCGTTCTTGTGATAAGATAAACAACTTTTTCTAGGAATAAGCTGAGCACTACTAGAAGGGAGTTTGATAACAAGGTCAATGAATTTGCATCAAACTGTAACGTGAGGGCATCCTGACATATTGGTATGACGTGTGACTGCAACTGTATAGAATGTTAAGGAATATGGAAAAATGCAAAACAAAAGCTGGTACACTTTGTTTATTACAAGAAATGTAATAAATACAAGTATGTTAGATGCTTTAAGGAATTTGGAGACATCAATGAAGTAGGGGTTGCTCCAGCTGCTTGCTTCTTAAAGGAAGTTAAATTGGGTTCAGCATCCATAAACCTAAAAATTAATTTACTAGTCTGTGGTGGTATAAGAAGAGTGATTTAAATTAATGAAGTTGATACAAACACCAATAAAAAAAGTGAAGCCGATTGAATAGTTGTTAAAACATACATTTTGTTTCCTTACTGCAATGTCAGTGAGTGTTACATTTAGAATATTTTTTTTCCAACCAAGTTGGAAAAACTTGCAAGGGATTTCTTTTGCATGATCAAGAGGATCTTGCTTCATTAAGTAAATTAAAACAGAATAAACTCAACACAGAAGTGCTTATATGTCAGGGATGTTGGGATCATCAAAGAAGAAACTATTTACATATCAAGAAGTTGGATAAATTGGGTTTAAAGAGAGGTTTTTCCAGGGATTTCTGAAACATTATGAAGTATGCTGAAAGTGACAGGATTACAGGAAATAAACGAATTCAAACTCGAGAGGCAACATAAACTGGGTCCTTCAAGCAATATTTTTCTGCAAAAGGCTTTACTGGGCAGATCTTATTTTTGGAATATTGACTAATAAATGAAAAAGTAGTGCTTTATCTTTAACTGGGAAAAGGTGTAGGAGCCTTCATTTTCATAGTGTCTGTCTCCTCCTGGTCAAATTTTATTCATAGTTCCAACATTGTCATTATCTATCTATTTCCTGCTTGCACTTTATATTAACAGTTGTTATTGTAAATCTTTGAAGGTTTTGGAAGTGCTTTATCGAAGATTGCTGCTAACAGGGATCTTCCTCTAGGATCCCGCCAAATATCCTTTTTGCCAGTAGTCAAAGTTGTACAGTGTCTTCCTATTATTGGGATAGTTGTATGAATTTGGTGTCACATTTATACACCTCATAGCGAACACAAAATTATCAGGTTTTTTCGTGCAATGATATGTTTCACATTGATACCCTTGTGAGAGTTAACCTGCTTTTACTTAGCTGCGGTTCTTCTAAAGCAGTTTATTAAGAAACACTGGCAGGAGGATGAGGACGGGTTTGAACATCCTGTAGTTTCAAATGAGGAAAAGGTCACTCTTTTTTTTCCATCTTTTCTTTCTCCCAAGTTTCAAGCAAATGCAATATAGTGAAGATCGTTACTTCTTTTTGTTGGTTTAAAACTAATTGCCTTGATGTCAAGGTCAGAACTAGTGATGACTACAAACAGTTCTGATTGTTGATGGTGACATTGCGACCTGTAAAGATCATCACTTGTTTTTTAGTAAAATTTTGTGCATATTCTCTGCCCAAATTCTCTTATTACACCTTTCCTTTATTTGCAGATAAGAGTTCCAATTTTTCTTGAAAAAGGCAAAAATGTAAAAAAATTGACTTGATAAATCTTTATGAAGGTAACAGCCTCTAGCAACTCTATCTGGATGCTTATGACCCATACAGTAGCTCAAAACTAGTAGATACTAAATCTGCCACCCACCCAAGTAAATGGAAATGCTATCACTGAAACTAGTTAAAGGATATGTGCTTACTAGTTACAGTCGAGTATTACGAGGCTTTATTTTCTGTGGCTAAATCACATCTAGTTTATTGCAAGTTTTCCAATTATTATTCACTGTTTGCTGAATGCATCCAAAATTCCTAATTATATGCTGTTTACATTGTCAGGCAGTTATACGTGGTCTTCTGTTGTTATCACTGGATGATCCTCATAGAAAAATCTGCACAGCTATTAGCATGGCCGTAGCATCAGTTGCACATCATGATTGGCCAGATGAATGGCCTGAGTTACTCCCCTTCTTGTTGAAGTTAATTAATGATCAAAGTAATACAAATGCAGGTAGTCCTCTTTGCGACCTTGTTCATTGAGAAGCTTGCTTTTCTTTCATTGTTCTCCTTTTTGCAGTATGTTGCATCATCTTTGTTTGTTAATTTATGGTCGACTATATATACATGTATGCTGTTTCTTGAGAAAGTGTCTTAGTTATGTTTTTAAAAGAGAAAGTGTGTTTTCAAACTTGACAAATAATAATGTATTTTAACATGCGCTATAATCATGACGATGGTTTAGTTAAGTTGGAAGGTTTCTATATTAGAACTTCAAAACTTCAATACCAGAATTAATATTATTATACTACAATTTATTTTGTTGTAAAACTTGGCCATGATTTTTTGGTAACTGTGTTCCATTAAATAGAGTTTATATTATTACCTTTGTTCTTTGATCTTGGACCATCTGGTCTTGTGCTTTTTGTATTCAGGAGCTTTCCTAGTAATAGGAAAATAGTTTTCCCTAAAATACTTAAGTTACCTTCCACACTCAATTGGCAAACATATTCACCGATTCACCTACATATTCATATCAATGACTCTCTATATCAGTACGCAGAATAGGGCCCCTTATGTTTATCTTGAAACAGTTTTACATGGATAAGTACTGAAGTGCTTGATCACCATATCTGGGTTGCTCCAACTATGACCAATAGACCTAGATGATTTGGAAGATCTAGTCAACTGGTGTGATGTGGACATAAACTTGAATATATTTGGATGGGCCATCTTTTGTTCCATGTGTAGATCTCCTATTATACCAATCAAAGCTGTGTTGGGCATCTATACTGGCTATTCCAGGTACCTGGTGGTGCTTGATGAGCCAATTTAAAGTACACCTGGCTCCTCATTTTCTGTGCTCTAGGATCACCTTAAGGGTAACTATATATAGATGCTGTTCTTTGAGAGCTTTTTCCTCAAATTTTATTATGGCATGTGTATATTAACTTGTTGATGCTCCATCTGTTCATGAAACTTATTGTGTTCTTGCCATTCCACGGCTGATGTATTTGGTATAATTTCTTAAAATGTCCAGTTAATGGGGCTCTTCGATGTTTGGCTCTTCTCTCTGCGGACTTGGATGATAAACTGGTGCCTAGAATAATACCGGTTTTGTTCCCATGCTTGCATACTATAGTTTCATCACCCCAGGTTAACTCTTGGTCATGTTATAAACTATTGCTTTTTCTCTTTTGGAAGTATAACAACTAAGAATGCACTCACATACTTTCTAATATTAGTTGTAAGGACTGTGGATTGCTTTGCATGGTTTAAAACCAACATTTCACTTCAACTTGGAGCTGCTGCCGACTTTGTATGCCCATTGTATGTTGCATGATTTTTCCATCATCTCTAAAATAAAAAGATCAATCGAATGCTGTGTGCGATATGGGCATGCAGTACACTCATTTAATTGTTGCACTAGCACTCCAACATTGTCTTAATGGTGACTGATGACTATTTTCACACCAAGGAAATGCTTAATTTGTCTAGTATACGAAAAATAGGATTGTCTCTACTGGTAACATATGGTCAATCAAATCTTAGGATTGTATGAAAACTCAACAGGGTATAAAAATATTAAACTATTACACAAATGCAAGTAGTGAATGTCCTAATCCCAACTCAATGCTTGAAATGATGCAACATGACCTAACTACTTGGTAGAAAGCTCTCCTAAACTAATCCAATGCAGATACTTAAAAACAACACACATAACTTCTTCTGGACAGCAGAAACAGAGCTGCAGAAAACAGAGCTGTGAACAGATTTGGAAAGATGTTGAAACAGACTGTCTAGCATGTACAAAATGACTATGGTGGACAGCCTGTAGCAGTGCAGAATTACAAGGGGTAGATGAGATTATCCTAAAATAATACAACAAAGATACAACCTTAGGTTATTTGTCTGGGAGGCATCAAAAGTCTTGTCCCTTCATGATCCCAGAACACCAATAACGTGATAAAGAGCTAAGTGTTATTGATGGCAGTGGAGAATGCACCATAGGAAGAATACCATGGTAGTGAAGAACAGAGAGTTCCTCATCCTTGGGACACAATGCAAACACAATTAATTTGTTGATGAATATGTTGTTCATTGTAACACTTTTGTACCATAATCAAATAGTTGTTTCAGTCCTGAATCATGGTTAGTTTCTATTGGTTAACTAACACAATTTTTTTAGTTAAGTTTAGCACTAACTATTTAAATTTAATATAAAACAAGCTAGAAAAGGAACATAAATCAAGTGAATTAAAAATGAATATGAAGAACTCACACATATCTAGGGGTGTTCGTGGTTTCATTTAGACGGTCTAACCCACCTTTGAACAAACCAAACTGCAAGTACAGTTTAAGAAATTTTCTGAACTATGCGGTTTGGACCAAACGTGTTAGACTGGACCACAAAAATGCGGTATGACCGGTCTGTGCGTTTTGGGTTTATTTTTGGCTTTGACTGCCTATATCATTTCTTTTGTGATTCAATATGTTGTATTTTTGATTATGGCGCACATCAATACTTGTATACTCCTATTCCTGGTAGAGGAGTAATTGCAATAGAAGATTTTTTCCTGTACCATATATAAGAAAAGATGCAAATGATGTTGTTTTCTTATGTAGTATAGACTTTACAGTTGGTTCAAATTTCAATTTATGTGGAATATTAATGGCAGATCTATGACAAACCGTTGCGCACAAAAGCTCTTTCGATAGTCTATTCTTGTACATCTATGCTGGGGGTTATGAGTGGTGTATACAAGGTACTTTCTGTGTATTCACATCCTTGGGTGGTCAAATTGATCTTTTATTTTCTTTCTGTGATGAAAAGAATAAAATGCTTGTATTGAGAGCTTGTTGTTTAGACAGAGACAAGTTCATTGATGTTACCTTTGGTCAAAGTGTGGATGGTCGAATTCTCGTCCATTCTTAAAAATCCTGTGCAATCTGAAGATCCAGATGATTGGAGCATCAGAATGGAGGTATTTATATCTAAATATATTGATCTTTTGCATACTCTATAGTGGAATGTGCAATCACTTGTCATCTTCTATTCCAACATCAGGCTTTGAAGTGCTTGAGCCAATTTGTTCAAAACTTTCCAAGCCTGGCAGAAAGTCAATTTATGGGTAAGTTTGTCTTCATCATGTTACATCATCCTTTCTGCACCAATATATCCTTCTGATTGATCATTTTGCTATTGTTTATAAGACTCAAAAGACTTCTTTTCCAGAGGTTCTGGTTCCATTGTGGCAAACATTCGTGTCATCTCTTGCCATATATGAAAGATCTTCAGTCGAAGGACTTGAAGATTCATATGAGGGAAGATATGATTCTGATGGTTCAGAGACAAGCCTGGAATCCTTCATTATCCAAGTAAGAAGTTGCTTTGTATTTACAACTTCATTTCCTTTGCACGTGTCGTTGAATGACTTGATAAACAACAGGCATGCCATGTTATGTAACATTTATAGTATGAGTTAAGTATTTGTATGTCGTCTTGCTTGATTGTAGTTTGAAGTTATGGTATATTAATGTATTTTAACCTCCTATTTTATTCTTTTGCCTATCTGATCCTGCAGTTGTTTGAGTTTCTATTAACGATTGTTGGCAGTAAAAAGTTTGTGAAGGTATGTTTAAATTTACTTTTAACGTTTGTCTCTATTGCAAGATTGTAATACTACCCTGTGAGATGTTCACTGCATTTGAATATATGATCATCTGCCAAAATTTATTCTTCAGGCTTTTGGAAATAGTATGCAAGACCTGGTCTACTATTCAATTGCTTTTCTGCAAATGACTGAACAACAGGTAAGTTATGTAATGCTTTGTACTGTTCTTCTATTATTATGCATTGGCCAACTATTTCCATTCACATCTTGCAGTTTGTACTCAGCATTATACTCTGCGAAAGAACGTTTGATATTAATTTGCGATGATATATACACTCTTTTAGGAATCTGTGTAGAGTTTTTTTCTCTAAGGGCTATCAGAAGTATTGATTTTTGTGGTGTTCATCAAGTAGATGGCGAACATTCCACCCATTTGTTAAGTATGTAGTTTAAATCAATGAGAGGTTGGTAGTTAAGCAGTTAATTCTAAGAACCCAGTGATTGATGATTGGAGAGATGGAGACCTGTTATAAAATATATGAGGACATCTATAGTCCTTTCTGTAACGAGCTAGAGTTGTAGACTGAGCGTGTAGCTATAAGATTAGCATGTTACCGGCATTTTCTAGTTACTTTGCTGGTTTGTGAATATGACATGCCTTACTAAGTGCACGGGTTGTGTAGCTGTTCTTTTATATCTTTCTTGTGAGATACACAATAATTCTACTTCAGTGTTTATATCTGTCCTGATCCCATGCTTATACATTAACAACAATGACAAACATTCTATCTAAGCTAGTTGGGTAGGCTAAAAGTGAAACTACAATAGATTATAAGACAGTACAATGAGAAAGCAAATATGAAATGGTGAACCCCTGGGATTCTGGTACATGAATGACATTCTTCCCCTCATTCATATTTATAGCCAGCTCCTGATCTGATGTGTATGAACATTAGAATTTAACTTAACCCTTCACTAAATTTTAGTTCTTCATTGTTCTTTCCATTCTTTTACATATGCAATCATCTCAATCCAGGTTCATGCTTGGTCACTGGATGCTAATCAGTATGTTGCCGATGAGGATGAGAATACTTATAGTTGTCGTGTTTCTGGTACGGGATTCTTCCCTTTGCAATCCCTTTTCCTCATTCTGGGAGTCATTTAATACACTAACAGTTGTAGTAGAGCTCATATCTTAGTATGGTCATTGTTTCCGCAGGCTCTCTTTTGTTGGAGGAAATTGTAATTTCTTGTGGAATTGAGGGAGTTTATGCTATACTGAATGCTGCCAAACAAAGATTTGATGAATCTCAGCAGGAGAGGATTAAAGGTTCTGCTGATTGGTGGAGGGTATGCCTTAGTAACTTGTATATGCTTTTACATTCTAAATGAGACTTTCTATATGTTTTCTTAACTATTATATGCCAGACTATATCTTTATTGTAGAATCAAGTAGTCGTGTTTGATGCTCTTTAAGTTCTATGCTTAAGGCATTTCGTCGGTGATCAAAGAACCAAAGAAGCTTGGTAATTGAATCCCATTACTCTTGCTATTGGGTGTGAATGACTTATGAAGTCTACTCTTTTATGCTTTCTTCATTCTATTCGCCAAGTGTTAATCCTATCCGGTTGTTTCTGGAGAAGTAACAATTGGATGGGTAATGATCCTGTTCTAGTTTCAGCTCTCGATAGACAACGAAGTCCATCCTTATTCTAGATGATATCATAGACATCAAATAGTCTACCCTTCCATTATAACGACGAGGCAACTTTTTTGGGATAAATTAAGCATTAAAAGTTGCTAGAAAATTATCAGCATTAAATACGTGAATCTGTGGATTCACGAATTTGTTATATCTTAAGTTGTTAAGCGTTGGACCAAACTTTTGCTTTTGCAATAGGTCATGTGATATAAAAAATTAGACTATTGCTTATCTGAATATCCTTATCTTATTAATTACTATTTCTTTTTGTTTCTTCAGTGGATCATAGTAAATTTATGAATGTTCTGACATGTTTCCTTGCGTTCTATCCACATCGCTCCTTTAATTGTAATTTTCCAATCCTAACTTTATTTGGGACGTAACTTTTGGCAGATTAGGGAGGCTACTCTTTTTGCTTTGTCCTCTGTGTCGGAACAATTGCTTGAAGTTGAGGTTTGTACTTTTCTTTGTAGTACCTACTGAACACTATATAATTTGACTGGGAATGATAATTGGTTTGCTACTTTGAGTTTAGTCATTTATAAAGCACAATATCTTGTCTATATTTATTCTCAGGTTTCTGGGCCTTCTGGAGTCAATTTGGGGAACCTCTTGGAGCATATTTTTACTGAAGACATGGCAGCAGGTGGAGTTTTGTTTAGCTATATTGTAATTGCTTTCATATCACTAACATGTTAATTGATTGGTATTTGTTGTGCAGGTGTACATGAATATCCCTTTCTTTATGCTCGTATGTTTTCATCGATTGCAAAATTCTCATCTGTGGTAACTATCAAAGATTATTCATGTACCTTGTTTTATGTCCTTAAGAACAAGGTTCTCATCTATGTGTCTCTCACTTGCAGATCAACCATAGTGTTATTGATCATTTCCTTTATGCTGCTATCCAGGCAATCGGCATGGATGTGTAAGTTTTTTCCTTCTACTTATCATCATTTCAGCAATGTTCAGATGATCACTTCAGATTTAATTTTTAAATTTCAAATGATAGGCCTGCCCCTGTCAAAGTTGGTGCATGTCGGGCACTTTCCCAACTCTTACCTGACACAAACCAAGGAATACCGCAGCCTCATATATTGGCTCTATTTTCATCACTTACAGAGCTTCTTAAGCAAGTAATATAGCACTATGATTTTTCTTTTGTCATCGACTATGAAGGCAGTCTGTTTCTGAACATGTAACATTCTGCAGGCATCTGATGAGACAATGCATCTTGTTCTTGAAACACTCCAAGCAGCTGTGAGGGCAGGTTGGTGTGTTATATAAGGAGCGAGTGGAACAGTCTTTCATTTTTCATTCCGAGTTGAATTACTTTATTTACATGTCATGGAAACTGCTCATTGCAGGTCATGAAGCTGCTTTGTCAATAGAGCCTGTCATTTCTCCTATTATACTTAGCATGTGGGCTTTGCATGTTTCGGACCCTTTCATAAGCATTGATGCACTTGAAGTTCTGGAGGTAATTTGGTTAGATACTAAATGGTGGTGATGAACATGTGTGTTATTCTCAGCTGCTAAAGTGTTATGATTTACAAGGTGATTTTGTAAAACAAAAATTTTCAGTTGCATATGGTGAGATAGACATGCATGTTGAAATTAAGATGATGGGATTGTTATGCATGTGTGGCTTTCTATCTAAAAGATATTATCACTCATTGTGCTGAAGAAGTATACTAAAAAATGGCGGTTAACAGCCAACTAAATTACAAACATTTATTCTTGTTATTGATGTTGTCAACGTAAACATTTTAACAGCTGTTCCAATGAAACTTTTACGTTAGGCAGAGATATAGAGGGCTGGACTTGGAGGAAATGTGATCCTATCTTGAAGTGTATCTGCATGGTTCTTGCTTTTATTCTTGTTTTCTACGAAATGGTGTCAATGCTGTTTTCATTGTATCTTAACCTTAACTATGCTCTTCTGTTCATGATTCGGGTATCGTTCTGTTTGTTGGGAGAGGGCTCTGATTTAACTCAAAAAGTGCTAAAAGATAAAAATTGAAGATGAGACCAGGACAACTTGCTAATTGTCTACAGTAGTTAAAGATGATAAGAAAATTTGCAGTGTGATTTGGCAAATTTGAAATCAAAATATATTGGGAAAAGACGGTTAAAAAATGCTAAGTGAAACAAATCATTTGTCTATTGCGGTACATGTAACAAGCCATGATTGTTTTAATGTAGGTCATGAGTACCCTTCGAAATTCATTGTTAACGTAGCCAATTGTCTTTTATTGAAGACAGATTGTTTTAATTAGTCTTTTGAGGTGTACTATTATTGTTGTACTTAGGTGAAGGTCTGTCATTAACATATCCAATTCCTTAACAGGCAATAAAAAATGCTCCAGGATGTATTCATCCTCTTGTTTCACGTGTTTTGCCATATGTGGGGCCAATCCTCAACAAAGTACGTTCCTTTAATTATCTCATTGAAATACTAAATTAGTTTTGAGGCATTTTACTAACATGGGATGAATTGCTTTCTGGTGCATCTCATGTCTTTTTCTCAGCCTCAACATCAGCCTGATGGTTTAGTTGCTGGTTCATTGGATCTTTTGACAATATTACTCAAGGCAAGTTATAAAATATAACTGAATACCATTTCACCATTTTTTTTCTTTCCAACTTTATTGTTTATTTCTGACTTATTTGGTTCTCACTGTGATATATTATAGAACGCACCTAGTGATGTGGTAAAAGCAGTTTATGAAGTTTGTTTCGATCCTGTTATACGCACAGTCCTTCAGAGTGATGACCACAGTGAAATGCAGGTTTAATTTTATAGCTCAAACCTGAATTCTATTAAAGCTTTCCTTCATCTATGCAGTTATACCCAACTCATGATTTATTGCTATTTATTAAAACCAGAATGCAACTCAATGCCTTGCTGCTCTTGTCTCTGGTGGAAAGCAACAATTGCTCGCTTGGAGTGGTGATCCCAGTTATACAATGAGGTGTTTGCTTGATGTAGCTTCAAGGTGGGTACTTCTATATTATTTTCATCTTTGTAATTCTTCATCTAATTGGAGTTCTGTTTCAAGTGCTTTCTAAACATTCAAATATACATCACTATCGTTTTCTTTCTCCAACTTGTTATCTTCTGCTTTTCTATTCAAATATGCAATAGCTTCTTTTCTTTATTTAATTCTTCTCAGGGAAATGAATAGAAGTATAAAACATAAAAATATACACTTGACCCAAATAAGTAAAGAAGGGCAGTCCTTGTCTGGACTTACCTTTTGGGAATAGGGGCTAGGGCTAGGCTTACCCTCAAGCAAATGTGACCTGGTCTTGCCTCTTTTTCTTCTTGGCCCACCAAGCTCAAGCAAATGTAACCTTGTGGATTCTTTTGTATTATCATAATGAATTCCCTTCAAACTAGTGATTATCTTAGAGAAATCTAATCTATTTGCTTGTTTGTTCTGGAAACATGAAATTTTGACAGGCTTCTTGATCCAGATCTAGAAAGCTCTGGATCACTTTTCGTCGGGAACTTTATTTTGCAACTTATTCTTCATCTGTCCTCGCAAATGGCACCACATATAAGAGACCTTGTTGCTGCTCTTGTTAGGCGAATGCAATCTTGCCAAATTGCCGGATTACGAAGCTCATTACTTCTTATATTTGCAAGACTGGTATGTCCTTGAAAAGCACAATTCCGTCAAGTCCATAAGGCTCATTAATATAGTTCGTATATGTTGTGTGGTGACTTTAAAGAAGCTTTATTTCAATAATCTTCATGCTCTACCCTTGATGCTGTATTCTCCTGAAGTGAGTAGTATAGCAGTTCTAACCTTGATCAAAGCGGCATAACCTCCAAACATTCATCTTTAGGTTTACATCAGCTTCATGGCTGCTATGCTGCAGAGTAATAATAGGATACTATTAATATTGTTATCATTCTTTTGGTTCGTTAGTGTATATACTTGGATGAATTGGCATGATACAATCTATAAATACGTTATACACTATTTTATGTGTTTATTTTTTTATTCATTAAACAGGTTCACATGAGTGCACCACACGTTGAACAATTTATCAACTTGCTGATCACTATTCCTGCTGAAGGATACACTAATTCCTTGTATTATGTTATGTCAGAATGGACCAAGCAGCAAGGCAAGCATTCTTCATTTCAATTGAGCTTTTTTTTTGCAATGGGTTGTGCATTCTGTCATTCTATAGCATACATCATCAGCTGAATGGTAGTAAGAGAATGGTGTTAAAATGGATACACTTGAGCTGTTATATCTGTTATATAACCATGGAGCCAAACTGAAAATTTAATACAACTGCAATCCAATACAGGGGAAATTCAGGGGGCCTACCAGATTAAAGTCACAACAACAGCTTTAGCTTTACTATTATCATCTAGGCATGTTGAATTTGGAAACATCAATGTTCAAGGCTATTTGATGAAGGTTTCTTTCCAATAATTTTTTCACCTGTTGTTTACATTACATCCCTTCAAGAACTCAATCAGTTCCATGTGAACTTCAAGTCCTCTGCAGGGATTACGACTCGTTCAAAGGCTAAAGTTGCTCCTGACCAGTGGACATTGATCCCCCTTCCTGCAAAGGTTTTTACTCCTCTACTGAATATTGTATTTCATACGAAAAGTTTGGAGAAGGTAGAGGGTTGGCAAGGGGGAGGGGTGGAGAGAGGACACACGTTACTAAAGCTTTAAGTGAGATAGAGTTGTTTTGGTTTTTTCTATTTTTCATGTCTTTTAATTTGAGTCTTAGGGGCTGTGTAAAACGCTTACCCGGTAAGTGCTTAGCGGCTCATTTTGCCTTATCGAATGAACTTGACAAGGATTGTGAATCTTACCCGGTAAGAGACATAACAAGGACCGAGAGTCTTACCCGGGGATGACTCTTACTTGAAGTGCTTACCGGATAAAAATGTTCCATACGATGCCATTTTAATGGACTAAAATCTTACCCGGTAAGTTAAGTGAAAGTGTTGACTCTTACGGTAAGCGCTTTCCGGGTAAGCGTTGGGTAAATGGCCGCTTAGATTTTTTGCTCTTACTGTATGTCTGTCTTTGTTTTACTTCCTGCTCTAGTAGTTATCAGTACTGTGCTTTGCGATCCCCTGTTTGTTTGATGTTATGTCCCTCGTATGTCATTGTCTTTTTGTTGTGCTCACTAGTACCTATTGCATGTTTCAACAGCCTCTTGTCAATCTTATGTTACAATGCTACTTTTTCTCTCATGCCTCCTTGTGTAGTTTAGTTTTGTTTTGCGATCCAGGGATCTTCACAGAAGCAGGCTCTCTGCCCTTTGGGGTAGAGGCGAAGTGTTGTTGAATATCCTGGGTTTGTTTGGTTTAGCTTTTTATGCAAAAAGTTGGCTAATGTACACAAGTCATCGAAATAATTGCCTAAGAAACGGCATCACAACTTTCAGATTGATGTTAAAAGGTATTCTGTACCAATTAATACGTTCTCATTGTTTGTAACCATAATATGTTTTATACAATGGGCCAACTTTTGAGGAGTTCGTATTCGTTCATCATACTGCACAAATGTCGTATTCCAGCATTTTTAGTTTAATGATCGAATCTGATAAACATAATCTTTCCTTGTGGTCAACATAGATTCTCGCTGTACTGGCAGATGTCTTGCTTGAGCTTCAAGAACAAATTTTAGAAGACGACGATCGGGTATTTTTTTCTTCCTGCTTGTCATAGATGTTGGTAAACCATGCTATTTGGCTTTAGGCTATGTTTGGCAAACCAACTGTTAGCTAATAAGTACCGGTTAGTCACATTTGATAAAAACTAGCCCACAAGTTATATGACCTAAAAGGACATGTTTTTGGTCATTTATGTAAAATATAAGGGCATAACTCGAAAAAAAAGCCTCTAGGCCTATTGAAATGCTATCCGAAAACGGGTCTTTCCAATAAACTTAAAAAAGTAAGGGGCCGTTTACCAAACGCTTACCCGGATAAGCGCTTACCAAAGATTACATTATTGGATGAAAATGGTAAGGACCAACAATCTTACCCGGTAAGAGCGAAACAAGGACCAAGAGTCTTACCTTGTAAGTGAGGGCGAGGAATCTTACCATGGTAAGCGCTTACTGGATATATTGTTGCATACGATGCCGTTTTGATGGACTAAAATTTTACCCGGTACGTAAATGATAGTGTTAAATTTACCCGGTAAGCACTTACCGGGTAAACGTTTGGTGAACGGCCCCTAACTTTTGGTGATTATAACGAAGCCATATTGGTTATGCAGGATAGTGATTGGGAAGAAGTTGAAGCAGGAGATGCAGAAATAGAGCTGCTTTATTCAGCTGGCACCACATCTTACAGCAGACCCTCGCATGGCTATCTTGATGCCATGGCCAAAGCATTCAATGAGGTCTGCAACTCAACCGCCCCCCTGAACAAAAGAAACTGAAAATGAATATGCCAGAAAACACCACCACCACTTCTTTTCACGTGGACTAAACATAATTTGTTGTAGTTTTAACTTCTGTATGGGTTGGTTTAATATGATTCTATTTCATTTTTATATTTACTTATAGGACGAAGATGATGGTTATGACGATGACCTACTCAGTGCTGCTGATCCCCTCAACGAGGTTCACTTTCTGTGCAGAATTTATAACACCTCTTTTTGAAGACATAAAAATTATGATTTTAGGCAGGCAGCTTTATGTGTGTGTATATATATATATATATAATATTTATGGCGAAGGGTCGTGTGAGAAGGAAAGCTATGGTGAGAAGCGTAGGAAGAGATTTGAACCCTTGATCACTTTTAATCTCATGTCCACCCATGAATTGCGCTTTAGAAGGGAATTGATCCGGTGCATTTCGGTGCACCTCATTGGCGTTGACATTCAATTAGGATTGATCCAAGGGTGGAGATCTTTTCTTACGCTTCTCACTGGAACCTAACTCTATATATATATAGTCACATTTCCTCTTGTGTTTATCAGATTAACCTGGCAAGTTATCTCACCAACTTCTTTAGAGAATTCTCTCAAGGAGACCGACCACTTTTTGATCATCTTTGTCAGGTTTTCATTCTACTTTTCTTTTATTTAATTTTCTTCCGTCAATTTTATCTGTTTTATTCTCAACTCAGCCTCACGAGCCCTACTCTGTGTGGGATTCACTAGGTACGTTATGTAACTTGTTCTAATATTGGGCGGAACATTGCAGAGTTTGACACAGGCTCAGAAAAAAGCTATACAAATGGTGGTGAGTTGATAGCCATGAATTCGTTGTGTACCATTAATCGGAGAAATTTCATTTGTCCAAGGGTGGTTGTAATTTTTGCACTTGGGGTGATAAAACGACATCCGAGTGAGTTTGTACATTGCGGGTAATTTATCTCTTTCGGTTTTCTGTTTTCTGTTTTTTTCTTCTTATGTTGTTTCCATTTTTATTCCAAGGGTGGTTGCAGCCAAGGTCATGTCCTTGAGGATGTTAATGTTTGTTGTAATCACTGTAACTTAATTAACTTCCCTTTGGGTGGCAACATTAATTAATATTTAATAGTGGGTTGGGTTCATTGTTAGTTTCTTTCAAAATTCTTTTTGGGGTCCAAAGATCTACTACACCAGGGGTCGTTTACCTAAATGCTTACCCGGTAAGCGCTAACTGTTAGGAGTCAACACTATAATTTATTTTATCGGGTAAAATTGTAGTACATCAAAACGCATTTATGCAACAATTTACCTGGTAAGCGCTTATTCGGATAAGAGTCGTCAGCCTGACTTACCGAGTAAGACTCTCCATCCTTATTATCGCTCTTACCGGGTAAGATTCTTGTCATTTGTCATGTTCATTTGGTAAAGAAAATTGCTCAGTAAGTACTTACCGGGTAAGCATTTAATAAATGGCTCCTTGGTGAAATTACGAAGACCCAAAGCAAAATGTTCAATAGCTGGTTTCTGATAAAGCAGAAATAACTCAAGAACAAATGAACTAAAGTTCTATATTGAAATTCGAAGCGGGATAACAATTGACAATGCAAGATAACCAACAACTAAGTAATGTAAACAATAATAAACCCAATGAAATGCACACTAAAACATAAGTAAGAGAGAGAGCATGATTTTTGTGGAAACCTGGAAAGGGAAAAAACTATGGGTAGAGGACGTGTTGAATACACTTGAGGGATTATAGCCTTTACAATGGATAATCAAAAGCACCTTGTACCTACTAATGGGTTAGTCCACATACTCGGTGACATGTTGCATGAGAGAAGCCGCCCGGTTGTTGATGCTGAAATGATGTTCCCTTAAGGCGCCACAGAAGGAATGGGAGCTACTAGAATGTTGACGCCTAGAAGGCTCGTGGGACATTATCGGGCGACTTGAGCCACATGGAGGGAGTCGCCAGGTTTCTCAAGGCCTTGGGCGACCATGGTCGCATGTGGAGTACCTGGTGAGGATTGAGGGCTAGCGTGTCATGAATCTCCATGCATTCAATTCAAAAGCTACATCTAGAATAAAACTCCACCATGCCTTCAAAGTAAGTGAACAAATCAAGAACATAGCTTCACCAATCTTATCTCAAGCCAAAATTGATCATCCATAAATAAAGCAATATCAAAGTAATCAAAGTTCTCGCAAAGCAAAGATCCTCCACCAATTTGCCCCTAAGGGCATCAACCCCGTCTTGCAACACCAACCAAGTCCAAACACAAATTGAACTTGGCTACCAGTAGCGGCTTAATCAACATATCTGTTGCGTTGTCATGAGTGCTAATCTTAACCACTTTAACATCACCTTTAGCACCCCTTGGACATAGTGATGACAAATATCGATATGCTTCGTCCTATCGTGAAACATCCAATCTTTGGTTAAGAGAACCGCACCTTGATTATCACATAAAACCTATTCGACCTTCAGATGATCACTCAATCCACCAAAAAATTGTTTGAGCCAAACAACTTCTTTCATAGTTCCATTAACCGCAATATATTCCCTTTTCGTTATAGATAACGCAACGATAGGTTCCAAATGTGCCTTCCGACTAATAACACACCCATCAAGAACAAAAATATATATCCAGTGAAAGATCTTCTATTATCAAGATCCTTGGAATGATCATAATTTACTTAGCCAAGTACCCACAAAGAATTCTTCCCAAAATGCAAATACAAATCCGTCGTGCCCCTCAAGTAACGAAAGATCTATTGGAGACTCTCCAATGTTCTTTACAGGTTGTCCATCCATCTGCTCAACATAGAAACTGCGTAGACAAGGTCAGGATGGGTACAAATCATGGCATGCATCAAAGATCCCATCACACTAGAAATTTGACACTTTTGCCATATAGGCAACATCACTTGAGTCGAAAGACTTGAAACAGACGATAACCTGAATGAGGCGTAAATGGAGTGTTAACAGAGTTTGTTTCAGATATTTAAAACTGGCGAAGAACTTTCTCAACATACCCTCTTTGACTAAGGTACAATTTTCGTGCCTTTGTGTCATGAATAATCTTCATTCCAAGAATTCTCTTTGCGGCTCCCAAACTCTTCATATCAAATCATGAATTTAATTAGTCTTTAACTTTCTGAAGTTCTCTCATATATATGTTTAGCTGCTAAGAACATGCCATTCAAATACAAGATCAAATATAAGATTGACCCATCATCACATTTCTTGAAATAGACAACAATTGTCATATGAAGAATTAGATTAGCTATGTGCGGTTTTAAAAGGCGTGAATCTCTTGTACCATTGCCTAGGAAACTGTTTGTAGCCATAGACATATTTTATAAGCTTGCACACATGACCTTCTTTACCCAGAATCCCAAAACCTTCTGGCTGTTGCATAAAAATCTCTTCTCAAGTTTACCATTCAGAAAAAGCAGTCATTACGTCTAATTGCTCAAGCTCAAAATAATTGGATGCGATCATCTAGAGTAATGCACATATAGAAGTATGTTTCACCACTGGTGAAAAAATGTCATTATAGTTAATGCAAGAAATTTAACTATATGTTTGGCTTTTTATTTGGAGTGGTCCCTTTCTTCAACTTATAAATCCACTTGCATCTAACCGACTTTTCGCCTTTGGTAGCCGGCATTCTTTTGCAAGGATTCCATCCTCGCATGTATTGCCATCATCTATTTATCTGCATCTTTTAATTTTATAGCCTTACTATAAGAATTAGGCTCAACGGTGAATTTAGTTTCTTGCACTACACTCAAAGCATATGCTATTGAATTGGTTCTTGAGTATACCGTGTGAGGCGTACACTTTGTCTCTCCCCCTATCACGCGCAATGCATGGTTCAGGTTCTTGTGGCGAAGGTTGTGATGGAGAATCACCTACCACTTGAACACCTGTAATGGAAGAAGAAAAAGAAGCAGCATTAGAATCATCAATAACATGATGGCTCGATGAGTAATAGGCAGCTCCACCTCCATCAGAGGTTTCTCTTTAGGAGCTTCAGAAATGGTCTCGAATGTAGGAGATGATGAATCTTGTAACATAGAAGATTCGTCAAAAGTGACATCTATGCTTATAATGGTTTTCTTTGTCTTCGGGCAGCTTAGCCTAAAGGCTTCCACTCCATGTTTGTATCTAAAGAATATGCATTTCAAAGCTCTTGGTTCCAACTTCCCATTATCAAAACGTGTATAAGCCGGGCAACCAACTATTTTTAAATTAGTGTAATCGGCTGGTGATCTGTTCCAAACTTCCATAGGAGTCTTCCTCTTAAAGGAGACCGATTAATAATATACCAAGCAGTAGAAGCCGCTTCCGTCCAAAAAGACTTATTATTTTTGAATTTGAAAGCATGCATCAAACTTTCTCAAGAATAGTGCGACTCATGCTTTCAGCTACACCAAAGGGTAGGATGCATTGTGATGCCTTCTTTTCGACAATAGGTATTGAATTCCTCGAAGCAAAATTCTAAGCCATTATTCGTTTGGAGATATTTCATCTCTTTTTAGTATTGCTTTCTATCACAGTCCTCCACTATTTGAGTAAGAAGAAAGGTGAAACTCAACATTAGAAATCGTCGATAATATATAGTGCGCATATAAGAGGTTCCACCATAAGAAGTAACATGAGGCGGACCCCAAAGGTCGGGATAAATATAGTCAAGTGACCTTTTAGTCGTGTGAACGCCACTTGAGAACTTGACCCTCTTTGTCTTGTTGTACACACAATGCTCGCAAAACTACAAATTGGTAACTTTGTAGTCGTTTAACAAACCATGTTTACTTAGCTCAGTCATGCCACCAAGGCTCATGAAACAGAATCGAAGATGCCACAACTTGCATACATCACGATCGGACATTGACTTGGAAGCCACCACAAACGTCAATCGTAACGGTTTGACCCTACAAAATATAAAGGTTAGCGAACTTTCTTTTTTCATTACCCCTAATGCTCCAGACTTAGGGGCTGTTTGTCAGTTGTTGAATGGTTTGATGCAGAATGATTAAGAGACTCTCATGATATAGTGAAAAATGAAATATAATTGTTTACAATGAAATTATGACGCTTATGGTTAAGGGAGGCCCATATACAAAATCATTTAGAGAGTTTTGGAACCATTAAGAGACAAACTTTTTTTTGCCAAACAAGATTCAGCTCTTAACGATTCAGAGACTGCTTCTATTAAGAGGTAAACAAACAACCCCTTAACTTCACTAACTTCACTTTTACTCAAGAAGTGGAATTCAGAGAGATGAGATTCATTCAAGAAGCTTAGGAACGTGCTTCATATTCCCAAGTGTTCGGATGATGCCATCATACATACGGATTCTAATTGTGCATTTACCAACAATAGGGCATGTAGCATTGTTGCTCATCATCACAATACAGTTAGACAAGAACATCTCTCATTTTTATCTTCCATAATGAATATCGGGTATCTCGTTCCAACAAAGGCGAATTGAATTTCATAATTATCGACATAAATGAAAACCTAGCAAATAAATAATCCCACAATCTTCATCAATAAAAAATCTCAGTATTAATCCTTGAGCTCTGATACCAATTGTTGTGTAATTACGAAGATCCAAATAGTAAGATGCTCAATAGTTGGGTTCCAAAAAAACACAAATAACTCGAGAGTAAATGAACTAAAGTTCTATATTAAGATTTAAAGCGGAATAATGATTCACAATGCAAGATAATCAACAACTAAGTAATGTAAACAATAATTAACGCATTAATGAAAAATAAAGTATAAGGCAACATTTATTTTTTAAGAGGTGTTGAAGTCTGAACTCTGAATTCTTATTTCCCTTCTGATTTATAAGAGGTGATACTGAATTCTGAAATATGAATTAATAAGACTGTTTGTTATTATAAACTGATAAACGTCTGAATTTTTTTAAATTATTTATTTTACCCATTAAAAAATTTATAATGTTGAATTTACAGATAAATTTATACAAGCTCACATGTTCATTTATCATCATTACAAAATTTACATCTAAATTATATAATTAACATTCATTTAAACAAAAATATGTCATTAACGGTACTTAACACATTTAAATCCTTATGATCGATTGAGAGAAATGATTGAT